CATGTTCTCATCACAATCAGAATACAAAACAGATTTGTGTCTTTAAAAACTCCCTTGTGTGAGAGCTACCTTGAGTAGTTACAATTCCCCAAACCTGCGACCCTGGCATCCACCCATCTGTTCTCCATTCATCGCTTAATTTTGCTTTATCAAGAATAAAGGGAATCACAGAACATAAAAACTTTTTTTTCAAAGATTTATTTATGCATATGAGAGCTGGGGTACAGGCCAGAGGTACGGGGGTGGGGGAGTGGTGGTGAGAGAATTCACCAGAGACAGAGTGGGGAACAGAACAGACAGATTGACTGAAGTACACTGCTGGGAGAGCAGCGGGCGAGTCTGGCGAGGTCTGCTGCGCCATGTGGGTAGCTTCCTGGCTGGGGATCGAACTCGTGCTGCAGTGGCTGTTGATAGCTTGATAGTGCTGTCTTTTTATATATATTTTTTACATGGTCATAGTCCCCATATAATACCCACCCCCCTTGTTTTGTTCCTACTCCCTTCCCTCCCACTCTGGTAGAGTGTCTCTGATTTATAGTTGCTTGTCGATTTTGATTTTTACTTTATTATAATTAGTCTTTTTCCTGGTCTCATTTAGGTTTTCTAAATTGCTGCTATGAGTGAGACCATCAGTATTTATCTTTTCCTTTCTGGCTTATTTCGCTGAACATTATCCCTTCCAGCTCATTCCATGCTGCTGCAAATTGCATGAGTTTATCTTTTTTGATTGCTGAGTAATATTCCATTGTGTATATGTACCACATCTTCTTGATCCAGTCATCTGTTTTGGGGCATTTGGGTTGTTGCCATAGCTTGCCTATTGTAAATAGTGATAACGCTATCTTTAACCCCTGTGCCACCAGGGAGACCCCAGAATATATAATCTTTTGAGATTGACAACTTTCTTTGAATATAATGCCTTTGAGATTCATTTAAGTTGCTCTGTACATCAGTGGTTTGTTTCTTTTTATTCTGAATAGTGTTTCATTATAAGAAGTACCACAGTTTGGGCTCCCCGGTGGCGCAGCGGTTGAACGCTGGGTTGCAAAGCTGCCCACAGCCTCTGCAGTGCCAGTTCGATCCCCAGCTGCTCCCCGGCCACCGGAGGAGGGGCCCACATGGCTCACAGACCTCTCCTGCCTCCCGCTGCTCCCCTCAGCAGTGTACTTCGGTCCTTCTGCCTGCTCTGCTCCCTGCTCTGACTCTGGTGAATTCTCTCACCCTCCTGCGATTCTGACTGTACCCAGTGCTTGTATAAATAAATAAATAAATCTTTAAAAAAAAAAAAAAAAAAAGAAGTACCACAGTTTATCCATTCACTCATTGAAGGACATTTAGGGTGATTATGATCATGATACAGCTGCTATAAACATTTGTGTCCAAATTTTTGTTTGAACATACCCAACAGTCACTAAGTCATATGGTATTTGTATGTTGAACTGTTTAAAAACTGCCAAATTGTTGTTTTCCAGAGTGACTTTATCATTTTGCATTCCCACCAACAATGTGGGAGAATAAAAGTTCACCACATATTTACTCAGCACTTGGTTATTTTTTAATTTTAGACATCCTAATAAGCAAATAGTGGTATGTCACTATGGTTTTAATTTACATTTTCCTAACAGTTAATGATGCTAAATAACTTTTCTTGTGCTTGTTTGCCATCTGTATGTCCTCTTTGCTAATGTCTCTTCTTCACGTCTTTTGCCTGTTTTTTATAAATAGGTTATTCATTCTTTTACTGGTGAATTTTAAGTGTTCTTTATGCATCCTAGATACAAGTTCTTTGCTGGATATGTGCTTTGTGACTTTTTTTCACCTAATATGTAGCTTCTTTTTAATTCACCTAACAGTATCATTCACAGAGCAAAAGTTTTCATTTTCGTCAAGTTCAGTTCTTAAGCTGTTGTGCAGTGTATTTTGGTGTTAAGTCTCAAACTTTGTGCCTGATCCCTGGTCACAAACACTCCTATGTTTTGTAAAAATTTTATAGTTTGCCATTTTATATTTAGATCTATGTTTCAGAATCAAATAAGATGTAGGATTTAGGTTGAGGTTCATTTTTCCCCAAGAATTCTTTTTTTTTTAAGATTTATTTATTTTATACAAGAACTGGGGTACAGGCCACATGCGCAGGAGGGTGAGAAGATTCACCAGAGACAGAGCAGGGAGCAAAACAGGAAGATGGACCGAAGACACGTCTGAGGGGAGCAGCAGGCAAGACAGGTGAGGTCTGCCATGCCATGTGGGTGTCTCCCTAGACAGCCAGGAATCGAACCCGTACTGCAGAGGCAGAGGACAGCCCCACAGCACTGCGCTCAACCCACTGCACCACTGGGGAGGCCCAAGGTTCATTTTTTATTGTTGTTCATGGATGCAGAGTCGTTCCAGCATTATTTAATGGAAGCTTTCGCCATTTAATTGCTTTTGTATCCTTGTCAAAAATCAGTGCCAGGTAGTATGATTCTTCTATTTTTTTCTCTTTTTTTTTTTTGTAGAAGAACTGGAGTGTGGACCAGAGGTGCAGGGGGTGAGAGTATTCACAGGAGACAGAGTAGAGCGCAGAACAGGTGGATTTACTGAAATACACTGCTAAGGGGAGCAGTGGGAGAGATAGGAGTGGTTTGCTACGCTATGTGGGTTACCTCCCTGGCCGGGGATCAGACTCAGGCCGTCATGGTGATAGCACTGAGCTTTAACCCCTAGACCACCGGGGAGGCCCCTAACTTTATTCCTGTTGAAAATCTAGAACTAGCTTCTCTATAATAAAATCAACTGGGATTACATGATAATTATAGATCAAAATGAGAACTGATATCTTTACTATGTTAAATATATGAACACAAATTTATTTAGATTTCAATTTAGATTATTTAATTTATTGTTTATTATTTATTAGATTATTTAAAATTTTCCATTTATTTAGATTTTTATTTTTCTCACCAGCATTTTGTAGTTTTCAGCATATAAATCATGTAACTCATTTTTCAGATTTATATGTATTTATATTCTTGGCATTGAAATAGCTCCCTTTTTTGGTTCACAAGTGTGCAGTGCTAGCATGTAAGAAATACAGGTAATTTTTGTGTGTTGACCTTATATTCTACAACTTTGTTGAGCTTATTAGTTCTAGGATATTTTTTTAAGATTGCTTGGCATTTCCTATCAATCACCTGTAATCTAAATGCTTGTTATCTCTTTCTTGCCTAACTGTCCTGAATGAAGCCTCCAGTACAATGTCGAATAGAATTGGTAAACGCTTACCATCCTTTTCTCATTCCTGACCCTGGGAAGAAGAATACAACTCTCACCATTGAGAATGATGTGTTACATGTAGGTTTTGTGTAGATGTCCTTTATCAACTTGAAGAAGTTTCCATTTGTTTCTATTTTGCAGAAAAATACCGGATGGTCTCACTCATAGCAGGAATTTAGAAAACCTAAAGAAGAAACCAGGAAAAAGACTAATCAGTACAAAGTAAAAATCAAAATTAACAAGCAACTATAAACCAGAGAGACACTATGAGGAAGAGGCGGGGAAAGGAAGGACTAGAGTCAATATATGTAGATTTTTTTCCACCTGTTGGTTCCATATTCATGATTCACATAAGCAGGTTGAATCCCCAAATGTGGAACCCTCAGTAACAAGAGTCTACTATATATTATATGAGGATTTTCCACAGAATGGGGGCCTGTGCCCTTACCTGTGCTATTAAAAGTCAACTATATTTTGGGCCTCCCCGGTGGCGCAGTGGTTGAGTGCTGGATTGCGAAGCTGCCTGCAGCCTCTGCAGCGCCAGTTCAATCCCCGGCTGTTCCCCGGCCACCAGAGGAGGGTCCCACATGGCACATAGACCTCTCCTGCCGCCCGCTGCGCCCCTCAGCAGTGTACTTCGGTCCTTCTGCCTGCTCTGCTCCCTGCTCTGGCTCTGGTGAATTCTCTCACCCTCCCGCACTTCTGACTGTACCCAGTGCTTGTATAAATAAATAAATAAGTAAATAATAAATCTTTTAAAAAAAAAAGTCAACTATATTTTAAAATTTCCACAATGACAGTGATTACTTCTGTAAGTCTTATAATATTAAGATGCCAATAGAGGGAAACCATTACCATAAAGTTAAACCAGTTTTATTACAAATAATAAAAAGATACACTGTAGCTACCAAAAAAAAGTTATAGTATATATACACAATGGAATAATATTCAGTGAACAAAAAGATGAACTCATGTCATTTGCAGCAACATAGAGCTGGAAGGGATTATGCTAAGCAAAATAAGTCAAAAGGAAAAAGAAAAATATTGAATAGTTTCAGTTATAAGTGGAATATAGGAAAACTATGTAAGGAAAACAGTAAGGAAAAAGAATTTGCAAGCTGACCATAGTTTGAGGTAAACAGCAAGGGATGGGGAAGGATGGGGTCAAAAGAGAGGAGGGATGAGCACAAGGGACTATAGTGACAGCTCATGTGCTGTGGTGCTGGGAGAACTATAGTGCTGTGGTGGTGGGAGAACTATGTGGACTACACCTGAAGGGAGAACAGTGGTATAAGAAAATAAAAAAGAAAAAGATTCTTAATGTGGTATATTACATTGATTTCCCCCCACGTTTTTGAGTAAAGCAAGAGTGTTACAAGAATGCATCTAATATGATTAAAGAAAAGGAAAGATGAAAAACATGTAAAACTACCTGTACCACTTAGGGTTACAATATATGTAGTGAAGTTGTAGAGAACCGCAGAGCACTGATAGCACATTTCAGAACAGACATCTCTGAAATAGGGGCAGATGGTGGGCTGATAGGGAAGTAACAGCAGCCCTCCAGGGATAGTAGTGTTGATTTTCTTAGCTAGTTCTTCCCCAAAACTTCAGACCCTATATACTTCATAAGGATTCTGCCGCATCTACTTATCAGTTGTCTTTGTGCATTAAATACTTTTTTAAATTGGCCAAAGAGTGTTGTATGAAACTTCATTCCCCTGAGTCCAGCTACCTCTCCTTAGGAATCTCCAGAATCTGTTGATCCTGACTGCCATCAAGGCAGACCACACACGGGTAATGGACTACATCAGCCGCCTGGACAACTATGACGCCCCAGACATTGCAAGCATTGCCATCAGCAGTGCACTGTACGAGGAGGCCTTCGCCATTTTCCACAAGTTTGATATGAACGTATCAGCAATCCAGGTGAATTGTTAAGTGCCATCATGTTAAGCTCTAATGCTCTGCCTCCAGTTATTGTGAGGGTGTCAGACCCTCCAGTTGTCCAGTGCATCTCAGATTCTTGTGCTCTTTTTCTGCTCCTCACCAGTGGTCCATCTTCCCAGCTTGTTGCCGCCTTCTCTGCTGGTGCTCCTTCCAGCTGTCTATTATCCCTGCCTCTTTCCAGTCATTTCCTCTTCTGGGCCAGGGCACCTGACATAAGAATATAAGGCTAGCCCTGGTGACTGTGGGTCTGATTCTGAGGCTCTCACTTGGGATGATTGTTCCAGTTCTTTAGCCCCATGAAGCTTCAACTCCCTAAGCAGTCCTGCCAGCCCTTCTGCCTGCTTTTAGCCTCATCCCTTTCCTCCCAGTCTGTCAACCTTTTTCTAAGTTTATTTCCAAATTAATTACAAGCCATGGAACATAACCATAACTACACTCTTACCAGCATTCATTAATTCCTTCCACTTCCTTTACCATTTTTCACCAATATGTAAAACCTCTTTTCTAGAAACCTTTTTTTAAAAGATTTATTTTTATTTATACCAGAACTGGGGTCCAGGCCAGAGGCACGGGAGGATGAGAGAATTCACCAGAGACAGCGCGGGGAGCAGAACAGGCAGACTGCAGAAAGCACTGCTGAGGGGAGCAGCAGGCAAGGCAGTAGAGGTCTGCTGCACCATGTGGGAATCTCCCCAGCTGGCAGGAAATTGAACTGGCACTGCAGAGGCTGCGGACAGCTTCACACGTGGCGCTCAACCCGCTGCACCACTGGGAAGGCCCTAGAAGCCTTCTTATTTGCTCACACATGGGCTTTGAGCTTGCTCTGCCTTTCAAACTGTCTTGCAAGCCTTTTTTCCTGGAAGATGAGGTTATCTCACTCCCTATAACAGCTCCTTTGAAACTTCTGCACCTTGTATGCCCCATTATACTGTCTCTCCTCCCAAGATTAGGAGGCAATGCCTATGTCCTGCCTCTGATTCAAAAAGTTTATCTTGGCTGTCTCCATTTATTTTTGCCTCTTGTTGGAGTGTCTTTTCTCCATTTGGCATCATCCTCCCTATACAACAGTTCTTCATTTATCTGACAAGGCATAATGCCTAATTGTTTTGGACTGAATTGAAATGGTATAATTTTAGACAGAATATGAAACTGGACAAAAATGAATCTGTTCCCTGGAGTTAACTATTTTAGAGAATAAGAGCTTTCTTGTAAACCCCTAGGTCCTAATTGAGCACATTGGAAACCTAGACCGAGCCTTTGAGTTTTCAGAAAGATGCAATGAACCTGCTGTATGGAGTCGGCTGGCCCGAGCCCAGCTCCAGGAAGACTTGGTAAAGGAAGCCATTGACTCCTACCTCAAAGCTGATGACCCTTCCTCTTACCTGGACATCATTCAGGCAGCCAGCAGGAGCAGTGAGTGAACCTCCTCTTCACTGGGTTTTGCTTCTTAGTAGCTTGAAGCCTGGAAAGCAAGGGTATGACCCTCCTGGAAATGTACATGTTTTAGGCATCCAGAACTACTGGAGACACAGCAGAATGAAAGTTTTCCAAAAGAGTCTGAGTTAAATATTACTCTGTTAATGACACTAATTCTTCAGTAAACTGTTGTCCGTTTTTACAAGATTAAATAGTTTAAGTGCAGTGAATATCATTATCAAATAATGTTCAGGTCAGAGAATAACACCCAAAGTTTCTTTGTCTTTTCAGTTGGTGCCATCCTCTCCAATGGCAGGAATAAACACTCTGGTTACATGGAGGTTCCCATTCACAAGGATGGCTCCTATGTGGTTTTGTTGCTCCTCTTCTCTCACCTGGGATAGGGCACTCTGTGGGAGGCAAAGTCTAGACCTTCTATGTCTTATCGGGAGCCCAAGCCTTCAGTGGGATGGAAGGCCAATGACTTGGCTGAGGTCAGAATGGGAGGAATTGAGTCCTTTGTTAACTTAGCAGCTCTGGACTATCTGTTTTTCTTCTCTTTTTTTAAGACCATTGGGAGGATCTGGTTAAATTCCTTCATATGGCCAGGAAAAAGTACAAGGATTCCTATATAGAGACTGAACTTATTTTTGCCCTGGCTAAAACTCACCATTTCTCTGAGCTAGAAGATTGTATTAATGGGCCCAACACTGCCCACATCCAGGAGGTAAGCTTTGCCCTCATGGGACTGAACTGCTACAGTTAGTTCTGGGATCACTCTTTAGAGTGGCACAGATTTGTGATAGTGAAAAATAAGCCACACAGTGAATTAAGTCCATTGTTACTGTCATTGCTACACAAATGAAAGCTCCTCAAATCTTGACTTGTCCTTGGCTCTGCACATCAGAATGATACTCCTCCTCCCCACAAGGAAAAAGGTGTCAGGAAAATGTGTGGGTTTTCTAGCTATTAACCACCAGAGAACAAAGTGAACTAAGTAACTGGTGAGATAAAAGAGATGTGTTGAAAATTAATAGCTTTCTCAAGTGTCAGCAATACAATCCTGTGCATGTATGCATTAAGCTTATGGTATGATTATCAGACAGCACTGGTGGGGAAGTTCCTTTTCAAGTAGGAATAAAAGACAAAATGTTTAAATAAACTTGCTAAAAAACATTAAATAAAAGAAAGATCTAAATAATTGTAAAGTTTGCCATGGAGGTAAAATGTTACATCTAGAAAAGGTGATAATGAGAGAGAAAGGGATAGTGAAATGTCCTTTACCATTACAGTAACTGTATATGCTCTTCTCATGAAAGAATGTACAGTTTATTGAAAACAACACAGATGTGAACTGTGGAATTCTTTATTTCAAAGTAAGTCCAGATTAATTATTAGAACTTAGTTTAGACTTTTGAAAGGGATTAAAAGTTCATCATTGAATTCTGTCACCAAAATTTAATTCCAGATAAAAGAACAATGGTAAAAGTTGAGGGTATTTCTTAGTGAAAAATTTTATTTTTTTCAGTTTATCTTTATTTCAGGAGTTTAGACAAAATAGTTGAATGTTTAATGTACTCTAAAGGGATGGGAAAATAACTGGTCTAAAATCTGTTCTCTTTTCAAAATGATAATAAAAGTACATAAAATCTTCATTCTCTTTAATTTTAGTATCTGACAAGAGCAGTATTTCAAAAGCAGAGACATTTAGAACATGATTCATGGGAAAAAGGAATGTCCTTTACAGAAAAATATTAGATATATAAAAACTAGACCCTAAATATGCTTAAATATAGTTGTATCTTTATTATTTTAAGATGATGAGTAATACTTATAAAAAAATTGAAGAAGAAAGAAAAACTCACTGACTTGGTTGTGTGGAACAAATGGTATTAGTCATAAAAGGTTATTGGTGATTTGGTAATTCTTAATGAAAGCATAATTTAAAAACTCTAATGTCTTTTTATAGTTGTAGACCTGGAAAATACCGTGGGTTAATACAGATTAACTCTTCTAGGATATTAGTGACATTCCAACAAATAATTTATAGTTATAAATATTAGAAATATAGCTAAATATTAAAAAAAATGCCTTAAGAAAAATGTCAGAACAATAAATGAAGTATCTCTTATTAACTTCATAAGTTTTCAATATATCCACTGCTGTCACCAGTTCCTTGAAATCTGGTTTTTTTTTTTTTAGTCCAAGATTAAGAGAGAATAAGGATGAGAATTATTCTCATCTTAGTGAAAATTTTTAAATATTTATTTGACTCTGTGTGAGGAAGGAAGTCTTAAACATATAAGCCCTGGAAGAAGACACAAAGGAAAATAGCTCTTTAATGCATAAAATATTTAAATTTTATATTTACTCATGAACATTATAAGTCTATATGTAAAAGTCCATCCCAAGAAAGTAAAAGCAGCCCAGGTAACTTTATGCTTAAATATTTAATCATTTCAGATGATTTATGCTAGTAAAAATGGAAAGCCAATATCCAGCAAAAGAAAAGAGCTACTTAAACAATACTCATCCATGGAATATAACATAGCTATTACAGGTATTGAGAACCTTGCTTGTGATAGAAAAAACTTACATAGAAATCTGAATTCAAGCAGAATGATAATTGAATTATACCGTGTAATAAATATATATGTCTAGGGAAAAAATCTCATGGAAACAGTGAACAGCTCTGAGATATGTAATTGGTGACATTATATTATTTTCTTACTTGCCACTTTACCAAGTTCTCTTTTTAGCCAGTGACCATCACTTTCAGAATTACCTTTACAATCAGAAAATTAATGAGTGTTAGAAAACTCCATGCCCCTTCACACAACAGGGCATGGAATAGTCCTTCTGGACAGATGGACTAGTGCTTAGTAATGTGGCAGTGTTTGAAGCCTACCTTGGGAAATCATCACTCATATTTGAATAAATTTGAGTTCTACTCAGTGTCTAAGGAGGTCTAGTCAGCTAGATTCTGGAGTTAGGTTTTTGAGAATTCTAGACTGGAACCAAAAACGTGGATGCAGGTTACACTGGAGGTGAGGTGCAGGGAAGGTGGAGGGCCAGAGAAGATGGGAGGAGACAGGATAGCTCTTAAGACTCATGGACTGGGAATGGCTCTAATGGGAAGGTTAGAGATAGAGTGGTAGCCAACAGCTGAGTTGAGGTCAAAATGATACTTGTTTGGTTTGGTGTATTTTTGTGCCGAAAAAAATAACAATAGTTCCTTACGTCTATAGGCATGATTTAGTACAGAGAACAAAATTGATGCAGGGGTTTGCTAGGGCGCTGACCTGGTCTGGCACAAGGGAGAGGGTCTGAGGTCATATGTGCTAGTAGAGTTGACCTTAGCCAGGTGAGGCCCACAGACACAGCAAGGTGGGAAGGCATGGTCCCAGTGCTTATGGAAGGGTTCTTCTCATAGAGTTTCTTTCTTCAGGAAGTGGGAAGCCAGGTATTCAAATTTAAAAGTTGGAGATTTGAGGAAAGGAAAAGAATGGGAAGTTGTTGACAAGGTTTCTCCCTGGGGTAAGGGAGTAAGATTGCTAGTGTTGTACCTCTGGGGTTAGTATCATGAAGTTAAGAGAGACACGTTGGTACTTTGGGACTCAGCTACCTGTATTTAACTCTGTAGTTCCAGGTGTGGAACTGGAGATTTGCCACGCAAATACAATCAAGTTCACCTGAGCTGCCAGCAGGGGGGACGTGGGCCTGGCAAGGATAGGGGGTGGTGGGGCAGGAGTTGGAGTGCTTGAGGCAGTGAGCTGGAAAGGAGGGGAGGCAGTTGGTAGATAGAGTTCTTGTACTAGGGCTCCTGGGTTCCTGGGGTAGTAGCTCTCTGACAGTGACTGGCTATTGTTGTGAGGAAGATGGATCCTCAGAGCATAGAAAGTCAAAGAAAGCTAAAGCTGTCAAGGAATGAGAAAGATCTGTAGGTAGCAGCAGAATGAAGACTGATGGTTGATCCCTGACATGAGACTCCCAGTTAGCAGTTTTCAGTGGGGAGAAAATTGGTCTGGAAGCAGCAAGGAGCACAGCTTGCCACCAGGCCTGCCAGGTACACTGGTGGGAGATAATTGCCAGCACACACAGAAGCAGGCACAAGGGAGCTGGTGCAGGTGCTGCAGGACTTTCTTTGTCCTAAACGAGTTCTGCAGCAGCCCAGGTTTCTGTATGATCAGGAAAATACAGATTTCCAGAGACGGAAATACACCACTTAGAACTTCAGCCTGGGGCTGAGGAAGCTGCCCATAGAGGAATATCTGAGCAGAGCTACCCCACTGTTCACAGGTTGGAGACCGCTGCTACCAGGAGGGGATGTATGAGGCTGCCAAGCTACTATACAGCAGTATTTCTAACTTTGCTTGCCTGGCTTCTACCCTGGTCCACCTCGGTGACTATCAGGCAGCTGTGGACAGCAGCCATAAGACAAACAACACACAAACCTGGAAGGAGGTAAGTATAGGAAGTCTCTAGGAGACTACTGGTCAATAGGTCTTATTGCCTATCCTTTCTTCTGTATTCTCTACTCTTTTTTTATGGTCAACATTTTTTTTTAAACTTTTTAAAAAAAAATTTATATAATTCTTACATCATTTTTCATTTTTGCACAATGTATGCATTTTCATTTTCATTTTGGTTATATTCCCCCCTTATTTTGGCCCTAATCCCTTCTCTCCTCCTCCCCCCACCCCCATAGTGTATGCCATACTCTTGTACCAGACAGGATGTGTGGATGCCTGCATTGTCCAAGCAGGGTGCTGAATCCTTTGGAATGGCTCAAAGGATCATCCCAGAACAAGTTTAGTTGGCGCAAAGGCCCTGGGAAAGCAGTCAACTCCCAGAACTTACCTTAATAACATGGAATTATCGGTGTTATAAGTAGTATCATAATAATTAATAATTTTAATCATATCACCTTGTTAGTAGCATAATCAGTATAAATTGCTGTTACTGTTCTTTTATGGAAAGTGGTAGGGCATGTTTGTCTCGAAGCCCTCTGATAATATAAAAATCATCGTAAATAAGAAAAAGTCTGTATAGAAATGTGCATATATATATATATACACACACATATATATATACACACACACAAAATGACTCTACCTTGCTATTTTTTTTAAAGATTTGTTTATTTATTTATGCAAGCATTGGGGTACAGTCAGAAGCGCGGGAGGGTAAGAGAATTCACCAGAGCCAGAGCAGAAAGCAGAACAGGGAGACTGACAAGGTACACTGCTGGGGGGAGCAGTGGGTGGCAGGATAGGTCTGTGTACCATGTGGGACCCTCACCTGGTGGCCAGGGATCGAGCCGGTGCTGCAGAGGCTGCGGGCAGCTTCGCAACCCAGTGCTCAACCGCTGCGCCACCGGGGAGGCCCCTACCTTGCTGTTTAATATGGACAGTTACAAGAAAGAATGTTTGCAGTATTCTATGAGATATATTGTAAATAGAATGTCCAGTATAATTCTATTCTTGTGTGTGATTGAGCACTGTAATGGGGTGCTGGTATATATGTCACACACAAAAAATAGTGTGCATAGGCTGAGTCTCAAGGTAACAACTTGTTATCTCTGGGTTCTGTGATTACTTTTGTTTTTTGGCTGATGTACATGAAAACACATACTATGATTTGGAGATGGACAGCAAGGAAGCCATCAAGAAGGCCACACTGCTTGTGGGGCTTGTGTGCCTCTCCTGGGTCATTTTGGGCAGAATTTTCTTCTTGTTATCATGAGGTATGCACTGTATGGCACACACAACAGAAGTACAGCTTAAAATATAATTATTAAAACAAACTTCTCCCATGTAAACAGCACTCAGATAAAATGTGCACTGATTCTTGGGCTTTGTTAGAGGACCCCATGAGACAGCGAGGGATTGAAAATGGGGCATTCTGATTGGAGCTCCTGTGATCACTAATCAGGTTCGAGCTTGCAGGGTGCCAAAGGGGCTTCTGGTGTTGTTTTGAAGCCCAACCTCAGTATCGGGCAGGTTGGACACACTGGTATAGTTCAGCTAGTACCAATCAAATAGCTTGGACTGTAAATGGACCAGTCTGATTAGAGCTCCCATAGGTGCCAATCAACTAAAATGGACTAACCAAGGCAGCACCCTAAAGAGTACATAAGTCAGGGGCCTCCCCTGTGGCGCAGCGGTTGAGCGCTGGGTTGCGAAGCTGCCCACAGCCTCAGCAGCGCCAGTTCAATCCCCAGCTGCTCCCCGGCCACCGGAGGAGGGTCCCACATGGCGCGCAGACCTCTCCTGCTGCCCACTGCTCCCCTCAGCAGTGTACTTCGGTCCTTCTGCCTGCTCTGCTCCCCGCTCTGGCTCTGGTGAATTTTCTCACCCTCCCGCACTTCTGACTGTACCCAGTGCTTGTATAAATAATAAATAAATAAATCTTTAAAAAAAAAAAAAAAGAGTACATAAGTCAGGTTCCAGCCAGCTTCAAGGGAGTCGGTCAGATTCACCCAGACTCTCCTGGGAAGGCCTTCATAGAGACATAACACTGTCCCTGTCCTCTGGCACTGCTCCTTCACAGACCTGACCACCGACATCACCCACTGAGTAACACCAATGGCCTGGTGCAGGGTGTCTTTAAAAGAGCTGGTTGCTGTTGGCTTTATGCCAGCATCTCTGAGCACTGTGACACTGGCCCCTGCCTCTGACATATCTGACATCACCGCTGGTGCTGTTGCCTGTGGTGCTAACCATCTGGTGTCCAGTGCAGCCTTCATATTGCTGTTACTTACTGCTGTGGTGCCACCTCTGGAGAGAACTTCAGAGAACCTCAACCTTCAAGACCTTGACCTTTGAGTCCTTCTAGTCTGATCTCTACTTCAAACCACTACTAACTGTGGCCCTACTTCTAACTCTTTGCTCTCTCCCAACTTCTCTCTCCCCTTTGTAACTAGATCCTGTTGTTGTTAAACCCCAAGCCTGAGTCCAGTCCTGCAATTGCATGTGGGTCAGAACCCAACAACCATGATATTGTGCCTCCCCAGCCTTGCACGGTTTCATTTTTAGATCCCAAACCTCAATTTCCAGCATCACTCTTCTGTCACCTAAACAGACCTCCACATCTCCGGCCTTAGAAGTTACGCATACACACTCTTCTCTCCAGTGTCAAACTCCCCCTTGGCTTACAGATTAGAAATGTCAGTATTTTTTTCTTCTGTCTCATCTAACTTATAGTTTTATGCTTGCTCAGAATCCAACCGAAAAAGTCCCAGTGGCTGGTATCTGTGCATGTGCAGCTGCATCCTTGTAGCCAGCTGTTATGATGCTTGGCCCTGCCCTGACACCACTCATGCTGTCTAGCCTCCTCTCCCCTAGGTATGCTTTGCCTGTGTGGATGGGCAGGAGTTCCACCTTGGACAACTGTGTGGTCTTCACGTTGTCATTCACGCAGATGAGCTGGAGGAACTGATACACTATTACCAGGTAACAGTCTCTGGTCAGAAATGATCTCTACTTGTAATGAAGATGAGTGACATCTAAGTGCTGCAAATAAAGGCATGCTTGTTCCCTTACTTTGTGACAATTGCTGTGAAACATCTGCAGATAAGAAAGTCCTTTCACATGGAGACAACCTGTCTACAAATTAAATCATTGGCATGTTGACATCTTGGGCCTCATTGCTGGCCGGCTTCTCCCTTCCCTTGTGTTCTTGGATCTTCAGAAATACAGCCTATGTCTTATACATGAGAACAGTCCTTGCATAAGTTCGTTGGAACGCGGGGCTAGTCATATACCTTAGATCCCCAGGGTGTGTGTGGCCTATGGAGGGCACGATTATTGAATGCTATGGAGACAAAAGACATGCAGAAATCCATCAGGGGGACCCCCAGGGAGACCTTTGGAAGGGTGGGGTTCTCTGTATTGGTATTGTGGTTACACTCTGCTGATGAGTCACTGATAGATGGATGTCTGTGTGTCCTGGGCCTGAACTTCTGGACATGGGTGTCCTTCAGCTGTTGTGGTTTTCCCATGTGGGTCAGTCAGAGCATCATAAAGGTTTGACTTTGCTCAGCAGTGTTACAGTTTTCACAGAATTCAATCTGTAGCCCTACCCTGCTCATTGAAGGGTTTGTAACCCAGAGGGCTCAAGCTGGGCTTGGAGGCCCTTCTGAGCCCATGAAAGTGGGCAGCAATGAGGTTCAAAATGTCAGTCTAGACTTGAAGACTTTTCAGTGACACATACTTTCCTATTCTACAGAACTTTGAGAAAGGAATTATAGGGAAAATATCAATAAAAAAGCCATCTGGAGGGCCTCCCTGGTGGCGCAGAGATTGAGCGCTGGGTTGCAAAGCTGCCCGCAGCCTCTGCAGCACCTGTTCGATCCCCGGCTGCCAGCGAGGGTCCCACATGGCGAGCAGACCTCTCCTGCCACCCACCCTCAGCAGTGTATTTCGTCACTCTGCCTGCTCTGCTCTCCCCTCTGGCTCTGGTGAATTCTCTCACCCTCCCGTGCTTCTGACTGTACCCAGTGCTTGTATAAAATAAATAAATAAATCTTTAAAAAAAAAAAAAGCCATTTGGAAACTGACAGAATACTTAATTTGTTCAGCAAATGTCTGAGCACCAATTATGTGCTAAGCATTATTCTAGGAAATTATATCAGTGGACAAAACTGAAAAACTCCTTTTCATTTGAATTTACATTCAGTGAGGTTAAAGACAGGCAACACCCATATTTGCAGGTGATGAGTTATAGCAGATGTGATACATGAGTTACAGTGGGGTAGATTTAGGGACCTTGGATGGAGCATCACAAAGGGGCTGTAAAGGTAGCACTAATTGAAAGTGCAACATTTAAGCCAAGACCCAGGGAAATGAAGGGACCTTCTCGTGGGGGATATTTGAGGGAAGAATCATCACCCAGGGCCAAGTCAGACTTTTCCAAGTATTTCAAGGAAGGACCCAAGGGGTAGGACAGACCACGTCATCATGAAGGACTAGGGATAGATGTAGAGTGGGGCAAGGAATCTGAAGGGTAAGGAGGCCATTCTGGTTCAAGTGCTGAGCACAGACACTCTGCGGGGGCAGGTGGGTGAAGGGTCAGGTGGAAGACAGGTAGCGGTGTTCTGGGCAAGAAGAGAGGAAGTAATCGGGGTTCGGGCCGTGCTTTAAATGTGCAGCCAGTTGATATGCTAATCAATTGCAAGTGGGGTGAGAGAAAAGTTAAGGATGACTCTGCTTATTTGGGGTTTGAACAACCAGAAATAGGGTTTACCTAGAAGCACAGGATATGGGGAAGACTAAAGGTAGAGACTGCATGTAAGGAAAGGATAGCAATTAAGTTTTGAATGGGCTGTGTTGGAAGTGCTGATTCAATGTTCATGTAGAGGCAGCAGGTAGGCAGTGGAAAGTAGGGTCTGGTGTCCAGTGAAGAAGCCCAGTGAGAGAAAGAAATGGGTTTTAACATGGATATGCTGTGAACAAAGGAGATGAAGGTCACTGGTGAGTGTAGATATCCAGGAAGATGTCAAACCATAAGCCCCAGGCCTCCAGCCTGCAGTAAGGTAAAGAAGAAACTCCAGAGAGGGTGATATGGAGCAGCCAGTGAATAGACACACCCACGAGGGGAATGGTCAGCTGAGTGGGGTCCTACTACTTGGCATATGACAAAAGGAAAACTGAGTGTTGACATCACTGATAGGAATAGTCTGGGGCAAGACAGCCTGACTGGTGGGCTTGCAAAACTTGGAAAGGAGAGAGAGCAGCACTTTTGATGAAAAGAGTAGCAGAATCAGCGAGTAGCTTGGTAAGGGGACACCCGGTCAAGAAAGGACATTTTAGTCCCAGAGAAGTAGCAGGATGTTTGCTGAAGGCAAACTGTAGAGAGGGATGTTGATGCCAAGAGAGAAGGAGGAGAACTGCTGGCACAGCGGCCTGGGCCAGAGGACAGTGGGCCTGGGCCAGGGGGCAGTGGGCCTGGGCAAGGGGACAGTGGGCCTGGGCCAGGGGGCAGTGGGCTTGGGCCCCCACCAGTGAGCCCTGAGCAGGAGCAGATGCTGGCAGCAGGTGGGCAAGGTTTCCACTAACAGCAATTCAGGATCAAGGTTATCTGCTGCAGTAAGGCGGGGGAATGTGCAGAGGTGTGAAATCGACCTCTGGGGATGGGCTCTGGAAGCTGGTAGTCATTAACACCAAGGGAGACCATCAGGGCTCAGGCGGGCTGTAGCCAGGGCAGACGACAAAGCGGGGAGTCAGGATGGACTCTGGGTGCTGGCCTTGTGTTGGCTATGGGAATTTAACAGGACCTGAAAGGAAGAGAATGGGGGAGGGGCAGTCAGACAGCAATGGGGAACAGTGGGTTGTTGTCCCAAATGGAGGTGAAGGCTTGCTGGATTCAGGATCCCAGAGGAGTGAGCCAGGAAGACAGAAATTATAACTAATAATCTTCAGACCCCATTTACCCCATTCCTGTCTTGCTTTTTTTTATCATATTTCTTTTCATAAAATGGCAATACTAATGTGTACTTATTAAACTTGAAGACTGCATGATGTGGGCTAAGTAACATGGGGCAGTGTGTGACAGGACCCAAGCACAGGTTTCCTTCCCAAGCACCTCCTCAGGACCATTTGATCTTGGCAGCCTGCCCCCACCTTGGAATAGGCTCTGCCATAGGGTGGCTTTGGTCAGGTGTGTATTTGCCCCACCCTAAGCATGCTGTTGGTTTGTCAGGACAAGGGCTACTTTGAGGAGCTGATATCCCTGCTGGAGGCAGCCCTGGGCATGGAGCAGGCCCACATGGGCATGTTCACAGAGCTGGCCATTCTCTACTCCAAATTTAAGCCTCAGAAGATGGCAGAGCACCTGGAGCTCTTCTGGTCTCGTGTCAACATCCCCAAGGTAACCTCGCCCTCCTAGAGGTTCCGGCTGCTGTGTGCCCTTGTGACACTAGCCTGACACTTAGTGGTGATCATCCCATCAGGTACTAAGAGCTGCAGAACAAACACACCTCTGGGCAGAGCTGGTGTTTCTCTATGACAAGTATGAGGAGTATGACAACGCTGTCCTCACCATGATCAATCACCCTGCTGAAGCCTGGAGAGAAGGGCAGTTCAAAGACATCATTGTCAAAGTAAGAGCATGGCATAGTGGGTTCCCGTCTGCTTCTGCCAACCCTGTCCTTGGGGGCAGGTGGGATGCATGCTGAGACTATACACCCCAGGGCCTGTTTCCATTCTCCCTTGTGATTCACTATCCTCCTCTGCGCAGTGGTAGGGAGTCCATCTGAACAAAGGGGACATGCGGCAATTTGAAAGGGTAGTGACTGACTTAGGATCTCACAGCCAGGTGGGGATCTCATAGCCAGCTATGTTGTTGTACCCTGCATTCCTCTCTGACCTCCTAGAATCTCACTCTCCAGCCTTGCTCATGCACCATGGGCCCTACATAGCTGGCCTTGGTGCTTGCTCTTCCTTCTGCACTGTTAGCTTGGACCTCCCAGCCCCTAAACCATGTCTGCTTCCACTCCCTGTTGTATTTTTTGTAGTTACAACTATTCTGGCATTTTTTCCCTTAATATTTCCCCCCCAAAACTGCCAACCCTACAGGAGGCAGGCACCTGACGGGGCAGTAAATGCCCACTGGGTAGAGGCGTTAGCCCAGGACTGCTGGCCCCAGAAGGACCCACCCTTCCCAAGGGCCCCTCCTATAAACTCTGGGAAAACTCAGGATCCCAAACTGTTCCACCAGCCACCAAAAAAGTGTCAGAAGGTGTCAGATGTGGAAGCAAGTTCTAAGTGGGCCTCTTGTTCAGCTGTGTTTCTCTGAATGATGTGACCTGCAGGCTGCTCCTTCCCTGTGAGCTCTGTGTGCACATTAGGAAGTGAAGGAATGAGTGTGCTGTTCTCAGTTCCTGTCCTTTTATATGGAGTGTCCTTACTAAGTCCCACTGACTTTGGGTAAAAATAATTTGCCCTCTGTTCTGCCAGTGAAAGTTACCATTCTGACTGCCTGTCTCTCTTGCCATTCCCAGGGTGAGGGCAGGTCTCCTCTCCATCTAGATTAGGGATGCTGAGCTGTCACCTCTCATGCCTTCTGTGCCACATACCCTGCTGAGGTCAGTGGGTGCCCAGCCATGTCTCAACCTTCACCCTCACTGGATTCTGAAGACCAGGTGGCCTGAGGTCACACTCATACACTGGCATGGTGGTGTATGAAGTCAGGGCGATCTGACAGGAGTCCTGCCCTGAACAGAGTCGGGGTCTTCAGATTGCTGGTGAAAGGGTAGGCACATCACACACTTCCATGGCCAGGCACACTGGAAAACTTTGCTAGAAAACCACACCTGAGCAATTCTAGATGTGCGTTTTTCACCTTTATCTTGATATCAGTGTGCATTCTAAAACTGACGACAGTGCTTTTTGTTAGTGGTGTCTGGGGCATTGTAGTTGTCCAGGTGATGTGTGTTCCATAACCCACATACTGTCACCTTGGTAGTGGTCAGGACCAGAAGATTCTGAGGAAAGGTGGAAATCAGCATGGTGTCTGGGTCCATAGCACATTCATAGGTGAGCCTGTCACATGAGCATCAGCATGGCTGATGGCCGAGTTCTGTTCCTGGTATGATGCACCAATGCCTCTGCCTTCCTGCCAGTGTGAGACAGACTCCTGTCAGCTCACACTTGGAATTGAGGCAGGTTCTTCCCTAGTCACAGTGGGAGGACACTCGCTGGTAACAAGAGGAGGGACTTTGGAATCCCCAAGCAGTGGAGGGCCAGTCAGGGGCCTTGCTGAGACACTAGGTTCATACAGGGCTTAGCCATTTGCTGTCTAGTTCCTTGAGCTCGGTATCTACAGTCACCTCATCATGGAACTAATGTTTCTTTCCTGCCAAGTCATCACTGGCAGGTGCCAGGCATATGGCAGGTGCTTCTTACAAGCAGGGTCTCTGAGGATCAACTTTCTCATGAAAAACAGAGTCCCATGGTCTGGGACTCATTGATGATGAGGTGCATGTTACGTGTGTCAGGGATGCATCAGTGGCTGTACTTAACCCATTGCGCTGTGGGCATGGCCTAATGGTGTTTCCATCCTGGCATGTGACTCCAGAAAACCCACCAGTGTGCTCCAGAAGAGAGCAGCGGGTGCTGCCTTCAGAGGATTGAGAAACCACTGCATCTTGAGGGCTCCAGGTGCCCTGAGAGCAGCAATTAAGCCCAACACACATATCCACAGAACTCACATACCCAGAGTGACTAGATCAGCTCTTTGACTGTTGCATCAGCAACACCACACTGACAAACGGGAGTCGTGGAACAGGCTATACATGCAGGATGCTGCTGAGCAAGCAAGATCCTGGCCTTTTTATTGATAGAATAATCATACGGCATCAGTTATGTGGGGTAGGAGGACAAGGAGAAAAAGATGGGTGAAACTAAAGAATGTGTTTTTGTCATCTAGGGCTTCTGTGGGGACATGAGTCTGCTGACCTAATAATTCCTATCTGCTTGATGACCGAGTGTTGTCATCGAAACCATACCTCAGCCCCCCAGCCATGGTTCTAATCTTATCAACATGGCATTCCACTGATTAGCTTCTGGGGTCCCTTGGCATACATCAGTCCTCAGACCGACCCCTCCCCCAGGCATTCCCGGTCATACCTCATGATACATAGCCTTCCCAGAGTGATCAAGCTTTCTGCTCTTGGTTGATTTGAGAGGCACCTTGTAAGGTTTGGCTCCTATGACTGACTGGGCAGTTCTGACCTTGTATAGGAATGCAGAACTACTGGTAACAAAAATGGTGGCTGAACAGGCCACTTAAGTCTAGCAGACCCACATTTTTACAGCCTCAGGGATACTATGTTAGGGGAAGGAGGTGGCAAGTCAAACTCTGCCTTAAGTGTCCACCCAGGAGGACATGAGATACACTGGCTGTGCTTTAGTGAAGGCCTCATGGGCCTGTTCAAAAGGCAGGGAAAGCACATTGTCCTTTGTGCCAAGGGGGTAGTCAGCTCGACCACCACCACCTCTGCCAACTCCTGCATGTAGAGGTGCATGTGAGGAGCCTCAGGAAGGTAGGCTTGTCCTTTCATGCCATCCTCTGTCATCCCAGTCATCCTGCAAGTTTTGTTGACATGGCTTCTGCCGGGGGGCTCACAGGAGGCAGCATGCTATGGAAAGCAAACTCCAACTCCATTGCCCATGTGTGCCTCTCAAACTCTGTTCCTTCTGTTGCTAGATGTCTGGTGTGACCTGAAAACCACCAGCCCCTCACCTGACCTAAATCTGATAGCACTGAGTAAAAGGATTGGCCTAGAAGGTTACAGAGGTCTGATGTCAAGTGTGCCCAGTAGGGATGGTCACCATTCTCTGTGTCCACAGGGTGGGTACTAGGGACCCCATTGCTGTTCTGGATCAGAATCTGTGGTGACAGTGAGTGTTGTGGTATGAGAAGAGCATTCATCAGTCTGGAAATAGAGAGAAGGTAGTGCTTTCAGAATCTGATAGGACTGGGGCTGTGATTGGCCCTCTTTCTCCACCCCTTGGGCTACAGACCACATCGCAGCTGCCCACCTGAACCCAGCATGACTGAGGGACATGCTCTGTGCCCACCATCCACGTAGCACATATCCTTCTGGAGGGCAGCAGCTGCCTTGATCTTCTGAACACCAGACTCTGCAGACAGAAAACTATTGAGTGGTACTATTGAATCAGGAAGACAAGCTAGGATGTACCAGGAGACAGACTCTGAAACTTTCCCTGGGGCATAGGGTCAGCCAGGAGTGGCCCAGCCTTCCTCTGCCAACCAGGGATGTACAGTGTGAGCACCCCAGTGAGAAAAGTAGGGACATAACGTTGCGGATTTGCTTACAGTTTAGGCTGAGCTCCCAGGAAGGCCTAGGGGAATCTTGCTTGGATAAAACTGTTTTGTTCTTTGGGTTTGGTCATCTTATTCCTTCATTCATTCAGCAGATAATGACTGAGCATTGACCCCATATCAGATACAGGGTTGGGTGCTGGAGTGAGGCAGTTGACAAAGGCCTGCCTCTTAGGTTATCAGATGACAGTTGCTGAGGAGAAAGATAAAACAGAAGTGGGAAAGGTGGCATGTAAGGAGGGGTGCTCTGTCTTATAAGGGGTGGTCTTGATGGGGTTCACTAATAAAGTACATTTGAATGAAGACAAAGGAGGCACAGTGTGCAGCACCTGTGGCAGGCAACTGGGATCCCCTAGGAGAGGCGTGGGTTGACCCTCAGCTCTGCCTCATGCATAGGTGGCCAATGTGGAGCTCTGTTACAAAGCCCTGCAGTTCTATTTGGATTACAAACCTCTGCTCATCAATGACCTGCTGCTTGTGCTAACGCCCCGGCTGGACCATACCCGGACTGTTGGCTTCTTTTCAAAGGTGAGTCAGTCAGAACCCCAGAGCCATAGAAGAATGTGTTGGGTCAGGCCTCCCCTGGTGGCGCAGCAGTTGAGTGCTGGGCTACAAGGCTGCCCACAGCCTCTGCAGTGCCGGTTCGATCCCTGGCCGCCGGTGAGAGTCCCACATGGCATGACAGGCCTTTCCTGCCACGCCCACTGGTCCCCTCAGCAGTATATTTCGTCCATCTACCTGTTCTGTTCCCTGCTCTGGCTCTGGTGAATTCTCTCACCCTCCCGCGCTCTGGTGAATTCTCTTACCCTCCCGCCCTTCTGACTGTACCCAGTGCTTGTATAAATAAATAAATCTTAAAATAAAAAAAGAATGTGTTGGGTCAAGGCCATCTGAATGGTACCTTAATAAACTGTTTCTGAAATTAATCCCTAGCCTATTTGAAGATTAAATGTATTAAACTTATTTGGCTTCAAATAGTTTTGCACTACAGCCAGAGTGTCCATAGAGGATATTGGTGTCTACTGAGTAACCTGGCAGCCCTTTATGTGTGGGTGTGCACAGGGCCTATGGTTCTACGTGTTGGGAAGAAGACCTCGCTGATTACAGTGCATCCTGAGACCCCTAGCTCCATGGTCTGATGATTTGTCTGAGTGCCCTGACCATTTTCCCAACTTGTCAGGTAGACCAGTTGCCCCTGGTAAAGCCTTACCTGCGGTCAGTCCAGAACCACAACAACAAGAATGTGAACGAGGCACTCAACTACCTGCTGACAGAAGAGGAAGATTATCAGGTGGATGTGGGGAAGGAGTCCTGTCAAGGTAGCGGCCGTTCCTTTAGTGCTCAGAGACCCATGCAGCCAGCCAGTGTGTTCTCTGTAGGCTTCCTTTGTATTGGGGAGATTGGGGCACCCTAGGTAGATAGGCAAGGCCTTCTTTCTGAGGTCGTAGTGGCAGCATCTGACCCTGGGTAGTTACTGGGTGTATACTCTGCTGTGTCCTTCACTCACAGAAAGGCGTGTCCACCTAGGGTTTGAGGGCCTCTATTGATGCCTACAACAACTTTGACAACGTTGCCCTGGCTCAGCAATTGGAGAAGCACCATCTGATAGAGTTCAGACGCATTGCTGCTTATCTGTACAAGGGCAACAAGTGTTGGGCCCAGAGCGTGGAGCTCTGCAAGAAGGACCACCTCTACAAGGTCAGTGCAGAACAGGACCAGCGGGGCTGGTCCCAGCATCATCCCATTGCCCACATGCCCCCTAATGTTTAGGGTGGAATAGTGGTGGTCCCCATGCCTGGAGAGGGAGGATGAGTAAGAGGGGAGTATTTTGAGAACATGGGTGAGAGTTGAAAGCAACCTAGAACATTTTTTATTGTTAACATAGAGCCCCTTAAAAATTACTTGGATTGAAAGACTTGCTCTCTGAATTCTTTTTCCAATAGTTATTTGTGAGTTTCACTCTCCTAAACACAGTGTAGCAGTATTCACTGGCAACTACTCTACTTCCTATCAAGATTTGGTGGACAGAAAAACCTAAACTAAAATCACATTCAAGATAATTCTTTCTGCCACTGAGCAGTGACTCAGCAACACCCTCATGTCCAAATCCAGGTCTGGGCATCTGCTGCTCAGGGTGGGCTGCCTGGGAAGATCACAGCCCCTGAAGGCACTGCTGTCACTGTGCTTGGCCTCAGTGTCTCCTGAAGTGAAGTGCAGTTGTACAAAAGCACCCTTACTGTAATATGTTATGCCACTGTGGTGGTTTTCAAGGGTTCTGTGTGCTGGGAAACTCCAGAACCCCCTCTGCAGACCATAAGCTTGACCTGAGAGGGTTGTTCTTGGCATCCCTGAGTACCTTTCCAGCTGCCACCCTTTGCCCAGCATAAGGAGCCTCTCATGGCACACGGGCCAACATCAGGATCATTAGGGTCATATTGTGCTTCATGCCAAGTTGTCCCCTCCAGGTTGGAACTCTTTATGACATCTACCCTCATGGTCCTTCCCAGGGTGCTGACAGTCCCCATAGAGGGAGCCCCTACAAAAGCTCTAAAACCATGCCATAGGGGGCTTTAGGTGCTGAGCCCAGGCATGGCAGTGGGGCTCCAATACACCTGACAGAAGCCACCCTTGGCTGGGGGCACAAGTGTCCTGTTCTGCTATGGTCCATGCCAGGGCGGCATGGCTCTTTCTAATCAGGCAGTGAGTTAGCTAGATGGTTCCCCCTAACACTATGAGCACTACAGAGGGGCAATCCACCCTCATCCAACTAGGAAGTCCATCAGTGACATGTGCCAGGAAGAGAACCTGGAAGGACAAGCCATTGGCAGAAAGTGGTGGCATACTTGCCAACACAGTGGTTCTCAGTTGGGGTGACTGACCTCCAGGGGACATTTAGTTGTCACACCTGGGGGATGTGATGCTAGATACAGTAGGTGGAGGCTAGGGTGGTACTAAAGAGCCCACAATATACAGAACCCTATTCCCCACATACAAGTGTTAGCAGAGTTATGTCAGGGCCAGGTGTGCAGAGGCTGCCCAGGGTAAGAGTCCCTGGACTTCAGTCATGGTGTGCCACTCCCTGGGGCCAGTGAGTGGCCACCTGTGTGCTAGACAGTCATGGAACAATAAGAAATGCACTTTCCAGACAGTGGAAGTAGGGTGTACAAGCGTTGTGGACAGCCATCAGGGTCACCACTGGCAGTGTGTACACTGCCTGGAGAGAAAGCAGAGCATGAAGCAGTGGCCTTATGTTGCTGTGGGAAGGTGTGAGAACAAGGCCAGATGAGGGCTGAAAGTTAGTGATCAGGGATTTTGGGGACTTTTTTATGTGAGGAAGAAAAGGCTAATCACTATTTCTTGAGCACCAGCTGTGGCACAATCATTGTGACTCTGGCCTTCCCAGTAAGCACTACTGGCCATTTCCATTCCCATGAGTGCCACTTCCTCTCTGCTGAGCAGGTCTGCCAGGGCCAGCTGCCAGGGCCATACTCGGTGCTCACCACAGCCCTCCTGGAGGTACCGCATCCTACTGGAGGCTACCCAAGGCATAGGGACCCCTCTATGGGCAGGGAAAGAGCCTTCACAGAGTCTGGCACATTCCCTCCCTCTGCTGGTTCAGAAAGTACCTTATGTGGCAAGGCGCAGGATAAGCAAAGGTATGCATCTGCCTTGACTACAGGATGCCATGCAGCACGCTGCAGAGTCACAGGATGCCACGCTAGTGGAGGAGCTGCTGCGTTGGTTCCTGAAGGAGGGCAAGCGGGAGTGCTTTGCGGCTTCTCTTGTCACCTGCTATGACCTGCTTCCCCCAGATGTGGTGCTGGAGCTGGCCTGGAAATACAATGTACTGGACCTGGCCATGCCCTACTTCGTCCAGGTCATGAAAGAGTACATTAGCAAAGTAAGTATGGCTCTGCTGTGGCTCCCTAACCACCATACGGCACATCCTGAGCTGGTGTAGCTTGCAGAGGCCCCTGCGGGTCCAACAGGGGCTAGCCTAGTTTGCCCAACCAGCCCTAGCTGCCATCCAGTGACCTCTTGCCTTCACACTCAAGTGGTTTTCTTCCCATCATTAATGTCTAGAAAATCCTCATGGGGAACTGGGTAGAGCGGGGCACTACCTGCAAAGTGATACCTTATTTTAAAACTGTGTGTCAAAGTCTTTTGAGTTCCTGTCTGGGTCTAGCTTTGAAACTGTCCAGAGACCTGTGTCATCCAGTTCAGTTTGTTTCTAAGGCTGTGGGAAAGTCACCACTCAGCAGCATCTACTTGCCCATCCAACCATATAACTGACCTTAAAATTTTCTCCTTTATTTTTTTTAACTGAAGTAACATGCCTGACCTCCTTCAAGTCTGGAGACATGAAAATACTAAAAAAAAACAAAAACAAAACAAAAAACCCACCAGGCTGAGGTTTCTGTCAGTGGTTGGAGTGCAAGGAGGGCCCTTCTCAGGGTTAGCGTGGGGGCTAGTAAAGAAACAGAAAGTGGTGGGGAGGTTCTGGTTGCTAGCTTTGGACTGCAGAGCCTCCTGGGAGCTATCCAGGCCCTGGCAAGCGCCATCCAGGGGCTTTTCAAGGCCATCGTCCTGCTGCAGGAGAGGAGGGACTGCCAGAGTGTGCATCTGAGTGAGGCCTCCTAGACTCAGGGACCAAGGAGAGGCAGCCCTGGCCTTATGGCCCGAGCTCCCCTACTGCCAGCAAATACCGGTTGGGTGAATTTATAAAAGGTTCCTGGTTCCTTAACTGCAACAGACAGCAACTCCATACAGTAGGTATTTATGCTGTGTGGAGTTTGTCTGTGGAAGCCACTCTACCCACCAGGCTGCTCTTCCCATCTCTAAGTTGTCTTCACTGGAAGTAGCCTGCCTGTTCTGAACCGCATGTAGAGAAGGATGAATGAGGCTTTACTCTTCCTGGAGTCAGGTCCATGGGTTAATATAAGAGGAACTGGGCCCACCTAGGGATTAGACACTGCTGCAGGGATTAGACACTCCCCCAAGCCCACAACAACTTGGGAAATACACTTCCTCTTTGTGGTGAATCATAGCAGCCACTGTCATCTTGATCAGCAGTGTAACCACGTAGCTAACCTAGGGTGAGACAGTGGACGTGAGCTATACCTCCCATTCTGCTGAAAGGACCCTGTCCCTTGGTCTCAGATACCTTCACTAGTCCTAGGAGGTCAGTGTCAGACCAGGTGCCTATCATAGTCAGAAAAGAGTGGGTTGAATGGGGTTTCTTGAGCAATGGAGGGGTATGGGCTGACTCTCAGCTGACACAGTGCTGTGAGGAGTGGGGGGGGGGCAGTCAACTTAGAGATGAGAAGAGCAGCCTGTTGGGTTGAGTGACTTCCACAGACAAACTCCACACAGCCCCTTATTAGAGAAGGCCCAGGGCCTTTTGACTCATCTGGGAAGTTAGGAGCCAGCCCTCTGAAACTACCCTCACTCCCCTTACTTTCTCAGTGGAAGGTGCTAGCCCAGCTCCGACAACCCTAGGTGTCAGTTAGCTGAAGACAGAGAGGACAGGATCCATAGAAAGGAGGGTAACAGGAGCACATGGGGCTGGCAGCAGTGCCTGGCCCTGATCTCTCCAATACCCCTTGGGACAGGTTATTGTTTTTTCTTGTTGGGGTACTTGTTCGGGGGGGGTCCCAGGTATACAGTTGCCATCACCCCCAAAAGCACAGTGCTATGTGCTCCATAGCTCACAGCACTATCTCATTCTGTTCCCTCACCTTCTGAGCCTCTGCCAGCCTGTGGGCGCTACATGGAGCAGTGCCTGGTGAAGCCTCAAAGAGCAAGATGTAGCTTGTCCTCAGATCCCTTCATTACCTCAGTGTCACCTTTTTGCTAGGTGGAGTGGCCCATGTGTCAGATGACATAGTCTCCTTTGGAGTGGTGAGCAGCCTGGACTGGCTAGACACAGAAAGTGCTGCTTTGTCTTGGTAGTGTCCCTTTGTCCAGAGGAGGACTTGGTCCCATGAGCCAGGCAGCATTTGCAGCTTGCCATCTATGGATACAGGACAGGTCCATTTGGAAAACACCTGACTAGAACAGTGACAGGGCTTTACCAGGGTCCCTCTGTGCATTCTGTCTCCACCAGGTTACAGAAGTCTTCACCTTGTGGAACAGAGTAGCAGTCACTGTGTGCTCAGTGTGTGCCCGGAACAACCATCCTCAGCACTAACTCTCTTGGAGTGTACTTATCCCCCAGCCCCACATTTACCTAGAGAGCCAGACTGCATTTGGCCTGCAAGTGGATACTCACTTTTGCCTCTTTGCAGGTGGACAGACTAGATACCTTGGAGAGCCTGCGCCATCAAGAGGAGCATCCTACTCCTCTCCTGTTTGGTAGGTGTCACCCAGTAGCCTTAGCCCCTGTTCCCTTAGGAGGGGAGGGGTCCAGGGACAGGTTGCTGTTTACATTGCCTTTCCCTGACTGGTGTGGGAATAGGTTGGGTGTGGGAATGGGTTGGGGGAGGGGGTACAGAAGGACCACAATTGGCTGTTGGATGTGGAGATTGGTGTACCCAGAAGTGTTGGAGAGGGACAGCTACTGTCCTTGCTGTTCTGAGGGCACCTGAAGGTAGGGGTGCCCCTGTCTGCTTGTGCCTGGCAACTGCCCAGCTTCTAGCTGCTGTTTTGAGCCACCCTGCCTAGCCCCTGGGCAGCAAGAACATTGTTGATTTCGCTCTTGAGGACCTGCCTGGATGGCCTGGTTGTTGAGCAGATTGATTGTGTCACTCCACAAAGGCTGTTGGCTCCTGGAGTGCTTTGCAGGACTAACACAGGCTTGAGGGTGTGTGCACATAATATATGAACCTAGTTCAAGTCTCCCACCAATTGTGTCTTCCTCAAGGTCATTGTGCCCACCCCCATTAATGTAAATCTGATTTTTTCCTAGATTTTGATGGGCATAAGTGAAACCCAGCTGGTTGAGCTAAGTAAGTGTCCCATTTTGGAACTAACTTACCCTCCACCCTGGCTAGCTTCTCTGCTCCCACCACAGTCCTGCCCCCAGGCACCTGCTCTCCATTGCTTCAGTCTCCTTAGGTGCCTGGCCACTCAGAGATAGTAGGACCTCTGCTCACTCTGGCTTCTTTCTCTGCAGGTTTGCAGTTGATGCTGACGGCAGTCCTTGCTGCAAGCCCAGCCACCAGTGTACGGCTTCAGCATGTGTAATGAACCCTCAGCAGCCATGTCCCCTCTGCCACATTATTAACCTCCCCCAAGGAGTGTCACCCCAGAAGCACACAGTACCCTAATAGGAGGTGGGGACACTTGGACTTTATTTTTGCTGCTGCTGATGGCAGCTTATGTGCCACCTCTGCGCCTGGGGAAGCCAAGGGTAGCCACTGAATGCCTGGGAATACCGGCTCCAGGAACCACCAGGGAAGTAGACTCCTGCCTCCAGGCCCTTTGGCTGAAGCCAGGCATTCCTGGGGAGCTCTGCAGGGACTCCTCGGCTTTTAGGGGGTGTGGCGCCCTCTCTTCACTCCATATTGGCAGAGCTGCCCCCTCCAGGCCACTTTGCAACATAACTGAACTAGCTCTGAGCTTCCTGCGGATCCTGAATATTAAAGTCTGTTTATCAAGGCAAAGCTTCCCTGCTTGGTGCTGGTGTGGGAAGGAGACAAAAGATTTGCTGAGATCTGTTTACGGGTTGGGGATCTGTTTTATTTGGGGATACAGTTTTATTTGGGTTTTTTTCTGACCACATACAATGCACAGTCTAAATCCCTACGGGGAGTGGTAACAGCACGTCGCGTGTAGAAAGGCCAAACCCTCAAACAAGCTGGGGTGGGTTAGTCCCACATGTCTCGGGGGAGGGTTTTGCGCCTCTCTCCACCCCTGATCTCCGGAGATCACGTCGCTTGTGGCAGATGCGCAGACCCGGACAATAAATTCTTCCCGCACCCGGGCTTGAGACCTGCAAGGGTTTTAGAAACCGCACCTTGACCCACAGCCCTGGGCCTCAAGGCAGCGCCTCCTGCAGAGCCCCGCCCCCGGCACGTTCCCTTTCCGGAGACTCGGGCACGGCCATTGGCTGCGCTACCGTCCCCGCCCCGGCGCCGATCTCGGAGCGCCCCGCCCGGGCCTCAGTTTCCCGGCCGGCTCGGGGCGGGCAGGGGGCGGGGCTCGGCTCAGACCACTGGGGGCGGAGCCCAGGAGCTGACGCGGCCGCCCCGCCCCGCACCGGCCCCCGGGCCATAACCGGCCGCCGCCGCCGCATCCCGCGCGGACCGAAGCTGAGCTGGAGGCTCGGACCCGCGGCCGACGCCGGGCGCCCCGCCTCCCTGCACGCCATGGCCGCGTCGCGCTCTCTGGCGGCCGCCGCGCCCTCGTCCGGGAAAGCCAAGCTGACGCACCCGGGGAAGGCGATCCTGGCAGGTGGGCCCCTCGGGAAGCGGCCCCCGAGCCCGCGCGCCCCGCCGGGCTTCCGGGTGGGCCGGGGACGCCGAGGCCCCGCCCCACTTCCGGGTGCGGCGTGGGGCGCGGCCCGGTCTCCCGCCGGCGCCGGGGGTCCCGTCTGGCGCGTCCCCCTCCCTGCCACGCCGAAACAGCGGGAGCGGGGCGTGGGGACCCAGCCCGGCCTCCCTGCGCCGCCGGCGCCGGACAAAGTCCAGGGGGGAGGGGCCCGGGCGACTGCGGGCCGGGCAGCGCGGCGGGGGTCTGAGGGCCGGGGTCCCGGGTCCCCGCAGGCGGCCTGGCGGGCGGCATCGAAATCTGCATCACCTTCCCCACCGAGTACGTGAAGACGCAGCTGCAGCTGGACGAGCGCTCGCACCCGCCGCGGTACCGGGGCATCGGTGAGTGCGCGGCGGCCAGTGTGGGGCGGGAGAGCCCGCAGCCGGAGGGCCGGGCCGGGCGGGGCTCCGGGACCAGCCGCGGCCGGCGGCGCGGCGCTGGGGGGCGGGCCCGGCGGGTGTCCCTGACCGCCTTCTTCCCCAGGGGACTGCGTGCGCCAGACGGTCCGCAGCCATGGAGTCCTCGGCCTCTACCGAGGCCTCAGCTCCTTGCTCTATGGTTCCATCCCCAAGGCAGCCGTCAGGTGAGGTGGGCGGGGGCTCGGGAGTGGGGGCGCGGGAGGGAATCCTGGGGTGGAGACAGTCCCTCACCCCACTGCCTCCCGTGCCAGGTTTGGGATGTTCGAGTTCCTCAGCAACCACATGCGGGATGCCCAGGGCCGGCTGGACAGCACGCGCGGGCTGCTGTGCGGCCTGGGTGCTGGAGTGGCAGAGGCTGTAGTGGTCGTGTGCCCCATGGAGACCGTCAAGGTGTGGAAGGGCCCAGCGGGAGATAAAGCTAGCGAGGCTGCAGGGTGAACTGCCCTAGGGATCTGGGCACAGGAGGCTTATAGAAAGGATCTCCCTGGAGGTTGGACTTCCTGCCAAATGCAATAAGAAGACATTACGGTTTTTTAAAACTACTTAATAGAAAAGGCAGCCCATGGTTCATGCCTATGTTGTGGGAAATACTAAAAACACAAACATGTGTTCAAAAGGTTCTTCCTCCTGCCTCCTGGGGCTTCTTGTCCCATGGTGGCTTTGGGGGACCCATTTTCAAGTCAAGAGCTCCACCTCCAACCCTTGCCTGACCTTCATGGACTTTGGGCCTGCAAAGCAAGGGACCAGGTGTGCCCTTCCTGCCGTGTTTAGGAGCCCAGTAGCTTTGCTTCCCTCTCTCTCAGGTGAAATTCATTCATGACCAGACCTCTTCCAACCCCAAGTACAGAGGATTTTTCCACGGGGTCAGGGAGATTGTTCGGGAACAAGGTAAGCCATTGGTTTTCCTCTTAAGGCCTGTCCTTCCCTCTCCTGCTTTGGTATACCTGTGTGTGCCTCTCTTCAATTGGCAGCTGAGGCCTGGGAGGCACCAGTGTGACCCCCCCATAACTGCCTCTCTCCTCCCAGGGCTGAAGGGGACTTATCAGGGCCTCACAGCCACGGTGCTGAAGCAGGGATCCAACCAAGCCATCCGCTTCTTTGTCATGACCTCCCTGCGCAACTGGTACCGAGGTACATTTGCAGACTGCAAGACCCCCCCCCCCTTTAAACAGTGCCCAATCCATAAAGCTCTCCTCTTCATAGACGCTGGTCCAGTCTCCTCCAGCCCTCAGAACCCCTTTACTCTGCCAACACCTTTTGACCATAACTCCCACCCACATCCAGGAGATAACCCCAACAAGCCAATGAACCCACTGATCACCGGGGTGTTTGGAGCTGTCGCAGGTGCCGCCAGTGTCTTTGGGAACACACCTTTGGATGTGATCAAGACCCGGATGCAGGTGGGGATGGGACTGGAAAGAAGGAGGGTGTCTTGGGGCAAGGGCTGGCTGCTGAGTGCTGTGGCATGCTGGTGTCCCATAGGGCCTGGAGGCACACAGATACCGGAACACATGGGACTGTGGCTTGCAGATCCTGAGGAATGAGGGACTCAAAGCGTAAGTGAGGGAAGGGCAGGGCTATTGTCCCCACCCCAGGCACTCCCTGGTCTTACCCCAAAACCCCTGCCTGCTCAGTCTCCTAGGGAGTCCTTACCTTCAGACTCTCCTTCACTTCCCACAGACAGTCCTTCATCTATATCCTCACCTCCCACCCCTTCCCTAACCCCACTCTCAGATTCTACAAGGGCACTGTCCCCCGCCTGGGCCGGGTCTGCCTTGACGTGGCCATCGTGTTCATCATCTATGATGAGGTGGTAAAGCTGCTCAACAAAGTATGGAAGACAGACTGAACCCAAGGGTCTGCCTGGGGGTGCTTCCCGACCAGCCCCCACTGCCCTCTTCTCACAATTCCAGTGCAGTCGTGCCAAGAGGCCCCCTTCCCCTGTCGCTTGCACCCTGTCACCTGGGTCTGTCCCCTGTGGCCATTGAGTCCATGTGTCCTGTAGTGCCATGTGTCCCCTTGGTCTCTATGACATATCACCATAGTGTCCAGCTAAGGCTGGGTGTCCCTCTGGCCTGTGGATCTGTGCCCACTTGTCCATGTGCTTACTCATGAGCAGTGTACCTGTGTTTGGCGTTCTGTATCATGTGACTATGTTCTGCTTCCCGGGGTGCTTGTGTGGCCTGGGTCCACGGCCCTGTAGCCATGGCCCCATCCCAGCCCGGTGCCTTCCACCCTGGGCATCGGGGCACCTGCCCCGGCCTACCATAGCTGCCTCTGGGCCTCAGCCCGGCCTCACCCCATTCCAGGGACTATGTGCCCCCCTTTGTCCCCTCCCCCACCACTTCTCCTGCCATTGGCCTTAACTGGCCTTCGGGCCCTTCCTCAACCCACAAAAGAGTGGCATTTGCCACTCTCAGGACCACCCTCCCAAGACAGAATAAACTGGATCCTGTCACAGCCTCCTGTCCTTATGTGGGCCCATCTGGGTGGGCAGTGATGGCCACACTTTCACATAAAGCAGATCTGATCCTCACCTGAAGATACTGACAGGGAGCCAGGGGGGCAGGTAAGCAGTCTGGTGGGTGAGTCAGCTGTGGCCAGAATCAGTCCCCCAACTCCACCCCCACCCCCCCAGAGACCCAGAACCAGGCTAAGGAGGTATGTGGGCTCCATCCATGCTTCACCTGTGACCTCTGGGCAAGACCTGGCATGCACCAAGATCAGCTGACAGGCAGTACTGAGTGGGCAGAGTGGAGAACAGCCTCATTGTTCCTCTGTGCTGTGGTTTGCTTTAGAGGAAATGTTTAGAGCTCAAAACTGCAAGGTGGGGCACCTAGCTTCTAGTCCTCTAAGGCTCTCAGCAGAGGGGTCCTTACTTATTCCTTCACCCAAACTGGGAGGCAGCTTCCCTGGAGCTGCCTGACCAGGCTGGCTCTAGGAACTACTGGGCACCTTACTCCATAGGCCTAAATCTCAGAGGAAAGGTATCCCTCCGACTGGAGTCCCCCAGGACAAGCTGGGCATGGAGCCCTCAGAGCCCTGGGCCCCCCGCAACCCCATGTTTGGGCCTGGGAGCCATAACACATGAACCAAGTGGAGGAGAACCACAGTCAGAACAGGATCTGGCTGTGCGGGGGCAGAAGGAACCTTCCTGTCCAAGTAACTCTGAGTAAAAGTCATGCAAAGATTGGGCTCAGACCGGGAAGTAGCATGCCAGCAAAAGCTTCCCCTGGGCAAGTCCCATCCTTGGAGCTGCTCCTTTTGGGGGAAAGGGCCCCACCAAGGACCTCAAGCAGCACCAGATCCCTGGAGTGTAGTAGTACAGGGAGGCTGAGGCAGTTCTGAGAACTAAGTGTGGACTTGAGAGGAGAATACAGGTTTTTGAAAGCTCTTTGGGGATAGCCCCTCTACTGGGCCACATGCTCTTCGTATGGGGGACTTAGCAGTGGATAAGGTAAGATAAGGTCCAGGCAGTAAACCCTGCGTAGTCCATTTGGCCTAAACACCAGGCTACCAGTTTTGAGCCTCACAAGTTTCACTGTGGGGGTGAAAGTCCATGATGGGCAGCACAGGCTACTGAAGTTGGAGGGTTATAGGCTCACCTGAAGCCTGACCTAAGGTGCAGCATGTGAGAGCTGGAGATTAAAATACCAGCTTTCCCATTTGCTCACTGTGACCTTCGACAAATCACCTGTGCTCAATTTCCTAATCTCTGAAATGGTGGCACAAGTGACCCCGATGGATTATAAAGATGAAATTACGCAATTCCTATAAGGTGCTTAGAACAATACTTAACAGTAATTAAGCCCTCAAAGGATGTTGCAGTCTCCAAAATTCCAGGTAGTTCTGAGGCTGGCAAAACCTGGCAGCTGGCTCAGGCATACTCACCCCTAGGGGTGCCAGCCACTCACTGCACACCTGCAACCCAGAGTCCTGTTTCCACCTCCCTTCACAGGAAGGACCTGAGGCTGTACTGGGCTGAGAGCCGGCTTGTGGACTTGTGCCAGGAGAAATATAGCTCCCATTCTCCCCAGGATGGGTGGGGACCTTGCCTTAACTCCAGGGTCCCTCCAGGACTCTACTGTGTTGTGTAGCACAGCATGGACAGCAGGTAGCTCAGGCGCAAATGTTGATTGAGCTGCATCTGAGTACCCAGGGGCAGTGAGCACAGAAGAGCCGCTTGAACTGGTGGAGTGCCCACTGTTCATGTCTAAGCAGCCTCAGTTCTTGGAGCTGAAACCTGAGGGAAGGGAGCTGGAAGGGGAGTGAGGGGTGTCCGTCCTGTACAGGGAAGAGTGCCCAGTCTGGGCTGAGAAAAGGCCAACAAGGCTGAAGGGAAATGAGCAGGCAGAGAGTGGATGAATAGGCAGGGTCCTGGAGGGAGTCCAAATACATTTTTTTTAACTTTTTAAGAATTACTCCTTTATTGTAAGATTTTTATTTTATTTTTGCATAGAAGGACTGGGGTGCAGGCCAGAGGTGGGCGGGGGGGGGGGAGTGAGAGGATTCACCAGAGACAAAGTAGGGAGCAGAACAGGTAGATCCACTGAAATACTCTGCTGAGGGGAGCAGCAGGCAAGATAGGAGAGGTCTGCTGTGCCATGTGGGTCAGCTCCATGGCCAGGGATTGAACTCAAGCTGCTCTGCCATAGGAGGGCTGTTGCAATGGTAGCACTGAGACCCAGCTCCTAAGCCACCAGGGAGGCCCTGAAGTCCAACTACATTTAACCAAAACCTCAAGTCCTGCAGAGAGGATCAGTGCAGACGCAGGGGCTTCAGTGCAGACGCAGGGGCTTCTTGGAGAATTGCTGCCTGCTCTTGCAGGTGATGTGGGCAGATCTTTGGCTAATAGATGAAACAGACTCAACTTCCAGTCCCACAGCCCCCACCAATCTGGACATTGACCAGGGTCAGGGAGGACCCTAGGAGCAGATGTGAGCACACTCTAAAACTCCCTGTCACCAGCACCTATCCACAGCCAAGAGCCTCTGCTCAGCTGGATGCCACAGCCAGCCTTCACAGCTGCAGGCAGCCTTCACCATCTGGCAGAGCTCAAGCCTGGGAACATCATGGAATGTGCCCAAGAGGGACAGTGGCCTTAGAGTGTGAAGTGGTGACCATCCTTGGATCAGGGCATGACCAACCTCCAGCCCTGTCAGGCAACTGCCTTCCAGACTTCTCTCACTTCCTTGAGTCCTTCCCTCCCGTACTATATAGATTTCCCCTGGGTTTTTCCATGTCCTTGTGTAGATGAATGGCAATCAGAACGTAGTACACAAAACAGTCACTCTAGACAACATGTCAGTCTCCTTTTAGCCAACAGAGGTTTCTGTTTTATCATTGGTGCTCTCAGCCCCTACAACAATCATTCTCAAGTGAGGATGCCAGGGTATTTTCCTTGCTGACTTTTTCCTACGTGTTTTTCCTACGTGTTTTCACAACTTCATGGACCCTGGTCTTTGGTAGAGGGCATAGAATCATACTCTCTGAGGGCCTCTTGCCTCTTCAAGACCGGAGAACAGGGACTGGACACACCAGGGACGAGAATGGAGACACCACTAGTGGAGAACCAAGAAACCAGAAAAGACAATGGGAAGGCCACAGAGAACACTCAATGTGGTAGATAAATGCAACCTAGACCAATGTGGGTGAAAAACCTGGTGGCCCCTGGTGTGGCCTTGTCACTCCCCTCTTCCCACACCCACCTGGCAAACCTGCTGTTTGCTCAGGTTGGGCCAAGCTCTGACCCTCCCCAACTGTGTCACTTCTTGTCTCCACGGCCTAGCTGGCTGCACTGCCCTTCCACTTAATCCTCCATTGCTGGGGCATGATTTGGGGAGCCCCACTAGATCAGGGTTGTCTTCTGAAGTGACCTCAAGGAATAAACCAACGTATGCCCTCTACTTAAAACAGTGTCCTGCCGCCCAACCTGATGGAGCCGCTTTAGGCAGTTTCCCCACGCAAACAGGACGGGGCCTCTGAAACCCTGGCTGGCTAGCCACCGTGTCCACCCCCAGCACCCCTTCCTCCACCTCCGCTGTCCAACACCCGGCCAGACACCACGCTCTAAAGTACCAAGAGACCCCCGGGCTGTAATGGGGGGAGATAAATTAGCTGTCCGCGATCGTGACCCGGGAGTTTATCCGGCGGAATGGACCAGGTCACAGCTGCGTGGCTGTGCCTGCCAGACCCAACCAAAGGATCTCCCCTCTCGGTCACTTGTTGCCCTGGCGGGTGCTAAAACCACAGACCATCAGGATCGCTCTCAGCACCGGCCCTGGAGGTCCGGGGACCAAGGCTGTGGGCCCGCAAGGCACCCAACAGACTTCACAGGCCGCGTTTCTGAAGGAGGAACCGGATTTTCGGCCGAGGCGCTGCGGGTTGGCAACGCGGCCACCAGTCCAGCCACCCTCGGGGAGCTGCCGACGCCGTAAAAAGAGGTGACGCGTCCCGGGCGGGGCGGCGCACGCTACTGACGTCACGGGGGCGCGCCCTGTGGGCGCGAGCCCGCGCACCTACTCCGCGCCGGAGCGGTCAGTAAGTAGCCCTGCGCCTCGCAGTCTCTGGAGATGCGGTGTCAGGGTCTGCTCACGGTCACTGCCCTGTCCTCAGATTTCACGGCCGATATCCCGGCCGCGCTTTTACGCTCCACCCCAATACTCGGCGGGTTCAGTCACCCCTCCCTCAATGATGCCGCCTCCCCATCTCCTCTCCTGCACCCCCTTCCACTGCCCATGCTGGACTCTGCCGAAGGTACCTCCTGACACGCAACCTGAGGGACACCCAGTTCTCCCTTACCTAACCTGGAGATGCCCATTTTTAGGTCTTTCCATCTCCGGCAGCCTGTTGGCTGCCTCATGGTATTGCTTTTCCCTAGAATATTCTTTACCCTTCACCTTTACTGTCTAATTCACATTTCCTTCAGGCTTTGCCTGACCTATTTCGGGGAAGAAGTGTCTGTTCCCCTTTCCTACCAAAGCCCTCGCACCTGGTTACTGAAAAGGTTCAAAACAGGTTTCCCCAAGATGTGCCACTTTGACATGTGGATTACTACACACCAAAGTCCCCAAGGCTCACATGCAGCTTTTACTATTCCCTTAACTACTGTTAAAGTTAACACAACTTGGGGCCTCCCTGGTGGCACAAGGGGTTGAGTGTCAGCGCTATGAAGTGTCAGCAGCCACTACAGTATGGGTTCCATCCCTGGCCGGGGAGCTGGCCCACATGGTGCAGCAGACCTCTCCTGTCTTGCCTGCCCACTGCTCCCCTCAGCAGTGTATTTCAGTGGATCTGCATGTTCTGTTCCCCACTCTGTCTCTAGTGAATTCTCTCACTGCCCCCTACCTTTGGCCTGCACCCCAGCTCTTGTATGCATAAAAAAAGGTTAACACAAACTGGCTACCCCTTTCCCTGGTCCAAACCTGGGTGCAAGCAGAGAGTCAAGTCACAGATGGACTGATCCTGTAAAAAGAGACTCCTCCTGAGAAAGTATGCTATCTCTCCACCAAATCAGTAACTTGGAAGAAATCTTGACTACACATTTCTAACTCCCCAGATTCCCCCAAAATATTTTTCCAATGAGATGAGATAAAGTTTAACTACTTTATTATCCTCAGATAGAAGAGAGAAAATAGACCCCAACCTGATCTTTTGTCTCTGCAGTTAAACTCCTGAAATGTTTACTGTAACATGTTATGTGTATTTTTACCAAATATATAAAAACCTCATACTAAGACTGAAAATGGGAGTAGTTCTCTCAGAGTGAGCTGAAGGGTTTTCCCAGGCTGGAGTCCTCACTATAACTCTTCATTAAACCACTCAAATTAACTCAATTCATTTTTGTGATAAAATTGACACCCAACATGAAACACAAGGCCATCTGAACCCAGGCATAACAGCAAGGGCCATTTAGGCCCACTGAGCTACTCAGACCTCTATATGCTGTTACTGGTGATTACTCCAGGGTCTCAAACCTCCCAGCTTGGTTGACAGTCCTCGATTTATTGAAAAATTGTGTGTCTGTTCAAATGTGGACAGGGTATCCTCTGCTAGGGCAGGGCAGGGAACTACAGTTTATGAAATCTAGGTCCTCTTAATAGGGACTAAAGGCAAGATTACCAATTGTCATAAAGATGGCCTTCTAAATTGGCAGTATACAAGACTTTGCTCAAATACTAAGCCCAACCCACTATGAGAAGCAGCTCCACCTTCTGAAGATAAAGGACAATTGCTCCCTCTAGCCAACACTTTTGGTGTTTCTACATGAGTAGAAAACTAGGAGAAGTGCCTAAGACTAGCTCTTGCATGGTGCAGGGGTTCTATAAGAAAGGGGTTTCTATATACACCTTTGTGCCTGTCTAAGGGTCTGGGGTGATGTAAGGATTGATGCTCTGCACCGCAAGTCCCTGTGATTGCCTTAAACAATTAACAGAAAAACTGAGATGTAAAAACTGAACCGACTCAGGAGTCACATGCTGGAGAGCTAGGCAACAAATTCCATACCTGGATCCAAACAAAGGCTGACCAGATCAAGCAAAACCACCTTTAACAATGGGAAGCAAAACTTTAAAACTTGGAAAACAAGGAACATCAGGTGATTCACAACGACGAACAGCCTTGTAGGATTTATATATAACACTTATAGAAAAAGTATCTGCAAATGGTTTCCTAAATGTGAGAAATTAAGTAGAAACAATCTCACAATGGAAATAACCCTACAATGATGCAGAATATGGAGGTTTTGATAATCCTCTCCGCTAAGTACAACTAGAAAAAAGCTAAATGTTACTCACAGGAAATTTTACCAGCTTACCATCAGTATTAGGAGACTGACCCCAAGATATTTTACTTAAGGTTGGTGGCTCACTATAGTAGCAGAACAGGGAGAGGAGTTGGGGGGGTCAGACACAGGCTGCAGCACACAAATTGTGTGCAGGAAACCTTTTCAGTGAGGGTAGAGTGCAAACCTACTTGCATATGGGTGCTGGGACCTTTGGTTCACTCACAGATAATCTGACAGGCCTCAGCACATGTAGCAGAGTCCCATCCCTCGTCCCTTTAGGAATATTGGAAAGAGAGACATACGTCAGAGCCCTAGGTTTTTTAATGTGGCAGTGATTAGTGCTTGCTCTAGACTCAAGGCAAGAAGAGGCACTATAAAATTCTCTGCCTGAAATAGCCCTCCCTCCCCACCAAGACTGAGACCAAGTCTTTGGACTCCAGCATACCTTCCCTCCTTACCTGCTGCCAAGTTAAACAAAGAAGATAAACAAAATTGAGGCCAAAGTGCCCTAACCAGAAAAACCAAATAAGGCTTCAAATATGCCTTGGAAATAAGGTATATCTGAACACAAAATGGAAAAACTGAAAGAGAAGAAAAAAAGTCCAGAGACCTATATAAATGACAC